TTTATCAAAGTATCTTTAGCTTGTTGGAATTTCCAACATGGGTCATCTCTACCAGCACCTATTTTATACAGCCTTGAAGGAGTATAATAATATCTATTAAACATTTTGTATTCTGGCTTCCCTAATGTATAATCCATTATTCGACGTATCTTCATCCACTGTAGACCCTAAATCCCTTTCCCATTTTTTTTTCATAAAATGTACCAGTTTTAGCATTTATCCACCTATAAAGCATTATTGTGGGTCCATTGTGGTTTTACAGTTTTGCCTAATGTGAAAAAGATCACCGGTTCAATCACATTCACTTCTTCAAGTTGACGCAAATCCCTTAAACACTGCTTCAGGAAGGGATTCTGGTTAAAAGAAGTGATAAAAAATACAAATCAAAACTCGCTGCCCACTGTGCTGAACCCTTGTGAATAAAGAAGGAACAGAAAGTAGCTTTTATGCACCTAAAACACCTTATAATGCCTGCCTATCATTTTAATTTCAGTCTCATTTATATCCCCAATAGGTGAATTATGCATGATGCTTTACAATGCCATCACAGTGCCCATCAGCTACCTAGAAGTTTGCTAAAATGACCTGTTTTTAACCTCCGTGCACTTACAACGCCCTACAATAACATCTAATTTATATCCACAAAACTTCAGTTATACATCATATATTATGATGGCATCAGGTTGCCTAGCAATCACCTAGCAACGTGCTGAAATGACCTGTTTTTTTGCCTTTTTTACACTGACAAGACCCTATGAAAGCATCCTATCATTTATTGACACAAAAGCTTAATTATATGTGATATATTATAATGTCATCATGTCGCCTAGCAACCGCCTAGCAATGGGGGTAAAATGACCCCATTGCAAAAAGCATCACAGCCCACAATACGAATAGGGCAATGATGATACTGCAGCGTTGGCATGTACTGGCACACTTAATACACACCTGTTTGTGACCTCAGTTAATCTGTAGAGTTTTAACCTTTTAATCAATAAAATGCAAGAAGTAAAAAAAA